CAAGTCTTCGCCGTCTTCAGATCCTCCCATCTCTCCATCCTCATCCTCGTCCGGTGCGTCAGCAATGACAACACCACCATCATCATCGTCAACATCGTCGTCGCCCTCGTCGTCGCCCATGGCATCCTCCAGTGCCTCCAGGTCGTCGTCACTCTCGTCATCACCCGGTCCCTCGACCTCGGGCCTACTGCCCACAAGCGCCTTCCAAATCTCATCTTCTTCCGCATCGCTTCCCTCTGCATCTTCACCCTTTTTGTCTTTGCCCCTCTTCTTCTTGTCTGCCGCTGCCTTCTTCCCGCTTGTCTCAAAGTACTTGTGGAAAAAGACTTCGTCCGCAGGTACTTGCTCGACCTTTTTACGCCAAAAAGCCTCGCTGTTGACCGGGGCCTCGGCGCGTGCTCCATCCCGATTCCGGATCAGCAAGTCAACGCCTGTTGCACCGGCCATCGGTTGCATGATGCTCGTGCCCTTGCCCACAGTCGGCTTGGACTTGGCGTTGCGGTACGCAAACCGATCGAGGAAGTGCATGAGCGTGTGCGAACTGGGGTCGGGTTTGGGAGGCATTTCTTGGTCGTAGAGGAAGCGTGTGGCGAAGAGAGTGACGGAGGGATGAAAGTGTGTGGCAAAGGGGAGGATTTCCCAAAGACAGGCGAGGTCTGCGTGGGCGTGATCCGGGTCGCGTTTTCGCCCGTCATAATGTAGACTGACTGCTGGTTTCGAGGGTTTCGGTACGTCGCTGGCGGCAGCTTCCTCCGTGTCCGAATGCGCATCGAAAAAATGCTCCTCTTCGTCATCGTCGTTGATTTCCGGCGTCGAGAGCATCGTCTTGATGCTGGGGAAAACTTTAGTGAGTTCGTAGATGAGGTAGAGCACGCTACACGCAAACGGTGGTTCGTGGAGGGTGATGACTTGCAAAAGACGCTTCACAAAGGCCTTGACGCGCTTGATGCTGACGTCGGCCTTGAGCGACTTGTACAGCAGGTTGAGATACATGATTTGTTTCGATGAAGTGAGAAGGCGAGGGTCGAGAAGGGATTCGTAGAGAGTTCGGTAAAATCGATCGGTGGAGAAGTGCTTGGCCGCCGAGATTTGCTGGATAAGGACCAAAGCTTGCATGGCAGTGTTGAAGTTGGAGGAGTGGGTGATGCGGAAGATGGTATCGAGCTGCTTTTCGAAGGCTTCGTCGTCGGTCTTGGCGTATGGGAATGCGCGGTTGACGCCGGTGAGGATTGCGGCGATGAGCTTGTCTGCCAGCTCAGTCTCTTGCTTTCCGGCAAGCTCTTGCGCTTTTTGTAGCTTCTGGGCCTTTTGCATGGCCTTCTTTCCTGCTTTGCCACCACCGCCTTGATTCGGATTTGGAGGAGGATACGGGTTCGCAGGGTCCGTTCTTGGGCTTTGCTTCAAAAGGCTCACAAAGAGACTAAAATAAATCTCCATCAACTTGTTTGCCACCTCTTGTTCCTTTGTACTCAAAATGGTCTGGTTGAGCGTGATGATGGCGTAGTATTTGGCGTGCTGGCTTTGGTGTGGTCGGAACAGCAGTTCGGATTCGATGGAACCAATGACGACGGTCTTCATGACGGGATGAGAAATCTGGAGCTGGAGAAGCAGATACGAGGCTCTTGACGCAATCTTCTTTTCCTTGTCACCAAGCTTGTTGACAAGAAGCCTGAGCAGGTTGTCCTCTTGTTCTGGCTTCTCCTTGAGCAACTCATAAACGAAAGTGATGGACCGGCTTCGCGAGTACTCGACTTCGTCGTTGCACCAGCCCTCCAGAACCTTGAGCATCTCGAAGTACGTCTTTTTCAACCAGTCTTCGTAAGCCCAGACGATCAAGTGTACTTCCTCGAGTCCAGGGGGCAGTCTTTGGCCCTGCTTCCAATTCGAGTTTTTCCCAGCAAAAGCAGCAAGCAGCGCCGGCTGTTTGGTAAAGGAGCGCAGCTTTCGCTCAGGGGGCAAAACGACGCCTGAGCCGAGCAAATCTTTGAGCGCACCCAGAGCCATGAGTGCCTGGTTTCTGCTCTTCTTCCTCGCCAGGTTCAGCAAATTCTCGAACGCCTTGGTTGTGTGTAGCGGCGACTCTTGGACGAGCAAAGTCAGGGCCGACACCTTGTCTTCCAGCGTACCCGAGGACATGATGGTTGACAAGAATTTGTGTGACGAGTCGGCCGACATGTTGCTGCTCGCGTAGGTCGAGTTGTCCTTTTCCAAAAGAGAGACGGCACATTGGTGGATCTCGTCTAGGACATAGCGTGGCGGCGGCACGACCTGGTCGGGAATTTGAATTTGGCGAAGCTCAGCAGCATGCCAGTCTGGTCTCGGTTGGAATATCTAAGAGGCGTCAGCAATGAGGGGAGGTGAAAGATGGTGAAGCGTACCAGAGTCGGCTTTGGGCCTTTGGCGTCGCGCTGACCCTTGTGAGCGTCGCGGTGGCCCTTGTGGACATGATCGGGCTTGTCATTCTTCCGGAAAGGCTTTTCAGCGCCGTTACGCGACTCGGAGGCCGTCCGCTTCTTTCCCATGGCGATATGGAGTGGTGTGGAGGTTGGGAGACGCGGAGTGTCGCGCGTTCAGAAAATTGTTGCCAAGATGCGGTAGATCGACGGGCCGGGGTCCCTGCAGCTGCCCCGCGCTAGCTTCCGTTTGGTCGACCTTGCAGTCATTATAGCCCGAACAAAGACTCGCAAAAATAAAACAGCTCCGCTTCCACGCCGTTTCTCCGGTCGAAACACGTCCGGATCATTCGGCTCGGCAACAATGGCTGGAGAACCCAAGATTTCCATTACTCCATTGCTCAAGCGCCTTTGGCCCGACCTGCCAGACCCCAATGCCCCGCCGGTCGCCGCCAGCGAAATCGCTCTGGCCATCTCGCACATTTTCACAAACAGCCTTTCTCCGGTTCAGACTGGCGCTCTCTTGACTGCGCTGCATTTCAAGGAGCATGACCGCAAGTCCGAAGTCTTGTTTCGCTGCGCCGGTGCCATGCGCGATGCCGCCGCGCCAGTCGACAAGAAAGCTTTGCGCCAGGTTTTGCGAGACAATGGTCTCAAGGAGGGATCATACCGCGGTGGACTGGTATAGTATGCCCATTGGGTGGCGGGCACATGATATAAAAAAGGAGTTGACACTTGTTGCAGTGCGACATTGTAGGTACCGGAGGTGACTCACACAACACCTACAACGTATCCACAACTTCTTCCATTCTCGCCTCGTCGCTTCTCCGCCTGAGCAAGCATGGAAATCGCTCCTCGACGTCCAAGTCTGGCTCCGCCGACCTCCTCGACAACACAAAGCCGCGCGCTCCTGTCCTGAGTGCTGTCAATCCGGACACTCTGGCTACTATTTACAACGAGACCAACTATGCGTTCCTCTTCGCGCCGACCTTTCATCCAGCCATGAAGTACGTCGCGCCAATCCGCAAAGAGCTTGGCTGGCGTACAATCTTCAACCTGCTGGGACCCCTCACAAACCCGGTCGAGTCGCTCATCGAGGCCCGCGTCATTGGCGTTGCGCGTCGGGACGTTGGCCCCGTATTTGCAGACGTGCTGAAATTGGCGGGTGCCAAAAAGGCCCTCATCATTTGCGGCAACGAAGACTTGGACGAGCTATCTTGCGCGGGGCCCAGTCAGTGCTGGATGCTCAAGGAGCGGCCGAACCCCGAGTTCCGCGGACCCAAGGACGAGGAGGACGAGGAGGACGAGGAGTACACGACGTCGGACGACGATGCACCCCCGCGGTCAATTGTGGACATTGAGCATTTCGAGGTGACGCCAGAGGACTTTGGCCTGCCGCGGCACCCATTGAAAACCGTCAGCCCTGGCAAGGAAGCCCACGAAAACGCAGAGATTTTGCTCAAGCTTCTCAAGAACGAGCTTCCCAGGGATAACCCGATCCTTGACTTTGTCTTGATCAACACGGCTGCTCTTTTTGTGGCGAGCGGCATCTGCGAGGCCGACGAGAGCAACATGGGTGCCGGCGACGACGGCAAGGTCATTACCGAGAGGGGTCCCGGAGGGCAGAGGTGGAAGGAGGGCGTCAGGAGAGCGCGTTGGGCCGTTGAAAGTGGCGAGGCGTTCAAGCAGTGGGAATCCTTTGTCGCCGTCACGAACCGGGTCAACAAGGCATGAGCTAGATCGTCTGTACACGTGAATTTGCGATGTGATTATTCTGGACTGTTTCGCAATCCATTGGCTCTTTACCAGGGATGCAAAAGTCGATTTTCAAGCTGAGCAAATTCCGATGACCACTTCTCAACCTTTTTCCAATGATCACTTTGACCAACGAGGGGAATGCTTCAACACGTGTGTCCACGGCGCCATTCGAACGGACTGTTACGCAATCCACTGGCTCTGCGGCGGGAGTTGGGTTACGAGCCGATCACCTTCCATCAACGCTTCTCAATCCACACCCAATGGTGGCTTCGACTGATGAAAGGAGCATCCCAATGGTCATGTCATAGTGGGCGTCGAAAGAAATGCGACAGACTTCCTGGCAATTTGAGTGCACTCAGGGAGCATTCATTTACTGCTGAAGCTACTCTCAGGGACATTCGTCTGCTGCCGCAGTCGCGCACAGGGAGATTTCATTCACTGCTACATCTCGACCTAGGGAGTCTCGTTCCTCTCTACACCCACTATGATGTATCCTGCGTGGCCCACTTGACTCATCATTGGTCTATCTTCGTGGACACAGCAACAAGGAGGGGGGGGGGGGGGGGGGAGGGAAACAGAAGAAAAACGACTAATCCACTTCGGGTCACACTTTTCAGTTCACTTCCGGTTAACCCTTTTCCATCCACGCGCAATGGATTTCAGGAATCTCCGTCTCGTCTTCTACCCAGCCAAGAACGCATATCGCTTGTTCCCTCCGGCTGGATCCCAAAATGCCATCCCCTCCACCCCCCTCCGCCCCCTTACTTCGTGCCGACTCCACAACAACGCCCCGGCTGAAAGAGTCCATCAGATATTCAAAAGAAGTGCAAAAGAAGAGGCATTAGTCAGCGACGCCGGCAGGATTCGAACCTGCGCTCCCGAAGGAAATAGATTAGGTACGATTCTCCGACGGAGGTTCAAGTTCTAGTCTATCGCTATAACCACTCAGCCACAGCGCCGAATTCGTAAAAGGGGTCAAAGTTTTGATTTTTATAAAGTGTACAACAATAGGGCAGCCAGGCAAGTCAGTGCGCTTTGTTGCCAGTGGCTGGCCGATCGACGCGAACCCGAACTCTGCATGAGCCTTTCCGTATCACCAAAAAGAATTCCGGACACTCTCTGCCTACTCGCTGTGCAACTTACAATCTGCATGTTCATCGGTTAGATTGGTCTCTCCATCTCATCAAACAGCTTTTCCATCTCATCACCGGACACCTCGCTGTCAATATGTTTCGTTTATCGGTCCGTTCATCTCACAAACCACCGACATCATCAGCCCTACGCGTCAAACGTCTCCAAGATCACCAAGACTCGCCAATATGGACCACCAGCCCCACAAGCCGCTGCGGGAAGCTCCGCCTTGTCCCCCAATGCCCAGTCTTCAGCCCAATCCACGCTTTCTTGGCCGCTTTTCTTGTCTCAACGTGCAGGCTGGCCGACGCGATGTCAGTTGAGCGCGACGCGTTCTGGATCGATCACCAGCCCAGTACCAGGCTCCTGGCCGTTTCTTGAACAAAGGCTTGGGGTTACAGGCTCTGGCGCACGCGACAAACAACATTGTAGCGGATGGGAGGCATCAATTGCTGCAATGCGGCATGGTCAGAAAGCGTTTCAGATATCCTGAACGAGGACACCCAAGAGCATCCCAGCATTTGCAAAGAAAGGTGAAAGGGGCATTCACTAAACTACCTGCCAGTTGCTGCAGTTCCGCGTTTTCGCGAACGCGACGCGACGAGCTCTCGTAGTCGGCAACCAAAATCCGGCCAGGTTTGACCCGCCAGCGAGGTGTCGTCTGCGCACCAACAACTGCACATCAAAAAGAATGGTGGCTATGCCGACGTCGGAGCTTCTCTGGACGCAAAGATCACGGAATACGATGCTCGGCCAAGGAGAACCAGATGGTCGGAACCCAAGAAGTCACGATGCGTCGCCCATGAAGGTCTCGACTCACCACCGCTCCAACCATCAAATGCTGCCCACGTTTTTACCAAATCAAAACGACGTCGTCTCCGAGTGCACTCAGTCGAAAAGATGAGGGATCGCCGGCAATGCTGCTCTGGGTCCAGACTTCCATGTTCACCATAGCATTCTTCACAAATCGCATCTACTGTCGATCAATTGCAAAGTCTCGAACATTCCACACAGAAAACTGGGAGGCTCCAGCGCACGATGGACTGCCGAACAATTCGAATGATTGAAGCCGTTTGCTCCCACCACGGCTCCTGTCGTCATCGTTATCGGGCGCAATTCAAGTGGCCTGAGTTGATGCAATGGACAAGCCATGGGAACTGTCACTTGCGCGGTACACTGCGCGGACTTTCTGGATACAGTGAAGCTGCACATTTGTTGTTGGCTTGGTTCGTTCCTCGTTCACTCGGCAGCCGCCGCCGCCATGTGATGAACGGCGGGAAAGAAGCGTATATCATTCTAGCCTTTGGCGGCATGCCTCAAATTGGCACAGAGACTCCCGGGCAACCACTTCCAGTCCATCCGGATTTTACGTCCGTCTAGTCGCCGCTACAAGTCTTGGTGGACTATAAGAGAGCGCCCAGAGTGGTCAGTGGTGGAGCAGAGCAGAACTGAAGCAGAGCGCATCCGCCTTCTGCAGCTCTTCTCTCACTCTTTCTTCTTGGCTTTCTGTTGCCGTTCCTTTTCGTCTTTCTTTCACAGTCACTCGCTCGAAGCACATCTTTGCCTGCGTTGATTTCACCCCAAGTTTCCAGTCGCTTCGCCCAGCATGCGACTCCCAAAGAAGGTCCTCCTCGCCATTTTGGCCACGCTCATTCACCAGGCCACGACTGCTCCCACGAACCATGAGGACAATGTCAACTACAGGGATACCAAAGCTCGCAATGGAGAGCTCGTCAAGCGCCAAATCTTGAACTTGGGCGGACAAGGTAGCTTCAACGCCTTCGCATCCGCCTGTCCGGACCTCGTACCAATCATTTCTGAACTTCCTTCAGCCGCTCAGAGTGCGATTCGAGTCCTGAACAGCGCCTTGTCCAGTGCCCTTGCTACGAACTCCGGTCTCTTGAGCAACGTCCCGCTACCTACTTCGCTGCCCCTCGCGTCGGTTACAAACTTGGTCAGTAACCCTCTGGCCGTCACGTCGGCCTTGCCCACAGGCAACCCGCTCGCCTCCTTGGCGTCCAGCAACCCACTCGCAGTCACTTCGGCCTTGCCCACAGGCAACCCGCTCGCGTCGCTCGCGTCGCAGCTCTCTAGCAACCTTCCCGTTGCTTCATTGGTATCGCAAATTATATCCAACCCGGCCGGCGTTGCCTCGCAGTTGACGCAGAACCCCGGAGGTCCCCTTCAGTCCGTCATCAGCAGCTTGGCCTCGAACCCCGTGGTTCTGCCCACAAACAACCCCTTGGGATCCGTCATTTCTGGCTTAAACAGCAACCCTGCGGGTGTTATCTCTGGCCTTGCGTCGAGCAACCCCCTCGCAGGGCTCACTTCACTGATTCCCTCCAACTTGGTCTCCGTCCCCTCCAACGTGGTGTCCATCCCCTCCAACGTGGTGTCCATCCCCTCCAACGTGGTGTCCATCCCAACTGGCGCTCTCAGCTCTGCTCTGGCCCTCTCCAGCGCTGCTGGCCCCCTCAACAGCTTGCTTTCGCAGGCCTCCACAAATTTAAATATTCTCACAAATTTGCCTTCGGCGATCGCCCCTATTCAGAGCCTGGCCTCGCAAGTCGTCAATCCATCGCAGCTTAGTTCTTTGGCAAGCCAAGCCTTGACCAACCCAACGGCCGCTCTCTCCGGCCTCTCGTCGGCTATCGCACCCATCAACAGTCTGCTCACGCAATCGAACCCGTTCTCGTCTTTTTTACCTGGAAGCCTTGTTGTTCCAACTACAATTGCGCTACCGTCAGGTATTCTCTCCGGATTGTCTTCGGTACCTGTTAGTTTGCCCACAAACATCCTCTCAGGAGCGCTCCCCACGACAATCTGCTCGGCCTGCGCCCTTGGCACGTCGGGCATACCCGCGCTCTCTGGTCTCCCGTCTAGCGCCCTTCAGTCTTTGATCAGTGGGCTTCCCAGTCAGGTGATTTCGGCAATCCAGACCAACCCAGGCGCCTTGAGTTCAGTCATCAGTGCTTTGCCAACGAACTTGGTGCCCTCAGTACTCTCTGAGCTTTCTGAAATTGGCTCGCTTTTGCCTACAAACGTCATCTCCGGATTGCCTACTTCTGGTGTTGTTCTGCCGTCTAGCGCCCTTGGCTCTTTGATCAGTGGACTTCCCAGTCAAGTTATTTCAGCAATCAAGACTAACCCAGCGGCTTTGAGCTCGGTGCTCAGTGCTCTGCCCTCAAATGTATTGCCCACGGTGCTGAGCGAGCTCTCTAAGATCGGTACGCTTCTGCCCACGAGCGGACTGCCTGTCTTCTCCACGGGTCTGCCTGTCTTGTCCTCAGGTCTGCCTGTCTTGTCCTCAGGTTTGCCTGTCTTGTCTTCGGGTCTGCCTGTCTTGTCCTCAGGTCTGCCTGTCTTGTCTTCGGGTCTGCCTGTCTTGTCCTCAGGTCTGCCTGTCTTGTCTTCGGGTCTGCCTGTCTTGTCTTCGGGTCTGCCTGTCTTGTCCTCAGGTCTGCCTGTCTTGTCTTCGGGTCTGCCTGTCTTGTCTTCGGGTCTGCCTGTCTTGTCCTCAGGTCTGCCTGTCTTGTCCTCAGGTCTGCCTGTCTTATCTTCGGGTCTGCCTGTCTTGTCCTCGGGTCTGCCGGTTCTCTCATCTGGACTGCCGGTTCTGTCATCGGGATTGCCGGTTCTGTCATCGGGATTGCCCGTCCTCTCGTCTGGACTGCCCGTCCTCTCTTCCGGCCTGCCAAATTTCTCTGGACTTCCGACTGGCGCTCTCGAAAGCTTGGTCAGCGGCCTGCCATCGCAGATCATCAGCGCAATCACCCAACCGCCCGCAGTTCTCTCCAGTGCATTGGACAACTTGCCCACCCAGGTCTTGCCTTCAGTCCTTTCTGAACTGTCTGAGTTGCAAAGCCAGCTGCCTACACTGCTCCCAACTCAACCCCTGATTAGCTTGATCAGCGATTTGCCTTCGGCAATCCAAAGCGTGATTACCCAGCCTCCCGCGGCTCTTTCTAGTGCCCTGGGCAACCTGCCAACGGGAATTCTTCCATCGGTACTATCAGAACTGTCAGAAATCCAGAGCGCCCTGCCCACTCTCAGCAACGTGGCCCCCTTGGAGAGCCTCATTAGCGGCTTACCCTCTGCAATCCAGTCCGCTTTAACACAGCCTCCCGCCATACTCTCTAGCGCGTTGGACAACTTGCCCACTCAGGTCCTTCCATCTGTGCTATCTGAGCTGTCTGAGCTTCAGAGTGCCTTACCTACTGCTCCCATCGGATCCATTATCTCGGCTTTGCCCAGCAACCTGGCCCCAGTGGAGTCTCTCGTCAGTGGCTTGCCTTCAGCTATCCAAAGCGCCCTAACTCAGCCGGCTCCGATCCTCTCTAGTGCTTTGGAGAACTTGCCCACGCAGGCTTTGCCCTCCGTGCTGTCAGAATTGTCCCAGATCCAGAGCCTTGTTCCCACGGCGCCCATTGGGTCCATTATCTCGGCCTTGCCCAGCAACCTGGCCCCGGTTGAGTCTCTCGTTAGCGGCTTGCCCTCAGCAATTCAGAGTGCCCTCACTCAGCCTCCAGCGATACTCTCTAGCGCCCTGAGTAACTTGCCAACCCAGGTGCTGCCCTCCGTTTTGAGCCAGATCAGCCAGATCGAGAGTGCTATTCCTTCGATCATTCCTCCTATCGGCAGCATCATTTCTGGAATCCCGTCGGCGGTCCCTAGCATCTTGCCCAGTGGTGCTTTGTCCTCCGCCTTGGCCCCCCTGGAGACTGCTCTCAGTCAAATTCCCGGAGGCGTCGAGTCGGCGCTCTCTCAAATCGCCACTAATCCTGCCGCTCTCTCGAGTGCAATCGGCGCACTCCCAAGCTCCGTTCTC